GACCAGTAGGTGGGCGCGCTTCGTCGATCGACGACAATGAAGCGAACATATCGTTCGCTGCACTACTGAAAGCCGCGATTTCGATCCCTGCGTCTCTGTCGTCTCTGCCGAGTTCTGTGGTCAGTATGCGAGGGCTACCGAGGAGTGAACGGCCTCGGCCAAAGAAGCTAGTTCGAATAGGGACTCTAACGTAGGATCGCTAACTGGGAAGTCCCGAGAGGTTGCTGACCTGATGACGCGCAGGAATATCCAAGTCCTATGCCTTCAGGAGACGCGATGGAAAGGTGCTAAGGCCAGGGAAATCGGGGAAGGTGTCAAGCTCTACTACAATGGAGAAGACACCAAGCGGAACGGTGTGGCCATAGCGGTAGCGGAGTCGCTCAAGGACTATGTCTCCGCTGTGAACAGGATCAGCGATCGGATCATGGCTGTGAGGATAGACACGAAAGAGGGGTACTGGACAATACTCTCCGTGTACGCACCGCAAACCGGATGCCCCGAGAGTGAGAAGGACGAGTTCTATCTGCCTTGACGATGCCATCAGATCGATTCCGGATTACCTTGACCATAGCAGGTGATCTGAATGGCCACGTCGGCAGTGACAGAAGAGGCTGGAAAGGGTGCACGGAGAGAGGAATAGGAGTGAGGAACGCCGAGGGAGAGAGGGTCCTGGACCTGGCTACAGCCCACGATCTGGCAATCTGCAGCACGTTCTTCGCGAAAAGGGAGACTCAGAAGGTAACCTACAGCAGTTACAGCAGTTACGTCGGCCAGTGTTCTGGAGAGCGCTTAGAGAAGAAACGTTACAGAACATCTAATCTCTCTGGTGAAGGACATGTATGAAGGAGCCAAAGCAGCCACACGCACCCCTCCTACCATGGCTTAATACGGAAGGAGGTAGGACATCACGGTCAGGGGTGCACCATGGATCAGCTCTGGGTCCGTTTCTCTACCTCCTTACACTAGATGTAGTGCGCATGTATGTCTATGATGGCATAAGTAGGTGCAAAGGAGATAACAGGATCATTCGATGAGAACAGCAATTGACTCTAACGGTAAGTGCAAGGCAAGCAACCACGAGGAGCCCCAAAAAGGGGTGAAGCGACGTCACAAAGAAGGATCTAACTACAATCGGGGCCACAGCAGAAGAAGCCAAGTAGCGACG